GTGATTGGTTGATTAGATAATTGCATTAATGAGAAATTGAACAGGTGTTCCTAATAATCCTTTAGGTGAGTGTATTCCAATTCCATATCAAGTACTGAAGCTTGCAAAAAAAAAAAAACGTTTCTGGTGTAACAAAAATACAAACAAAAGTCCCCAATAGTTAAATATTCTTAGCTTCAACGTGACTTTGCGTGTCTTCTCTTTCTATGATGTCATAAAAAAAAACCCGCAGGACCTTCTTACTTACAGATACCTACAGTAATTATGTTTTAATACTGCCATGCCCTGCTAACTGGCTGCATACAAAGCCATCATAATGACGGGCTCTAAAAATTACCTTCAAATAAATTTATTTTAAAAAACCGTCTCTCACTTCCACAGCCCTAATTACACTTAGACTGCACCTTTAGCAGGGCTATGCTTCACCCAAACACTGCAAGCCCACTGATTAATAATCCGTTTCCCGTCTTTTGCCAGAACAGTCTCTGAATAAATCTACAATTAAAATCGACTTTTGTGACGACCCCTACAGCCACGCATGCAGTGTGGAGGCTGGATCCTCATTGTCGCTGTACAGTGGAATGATCTATTTCACGTGCTCCGCCTCTTCACTCACCTAAGGAGACGTGCTAAAATAAATTCGAATAGCACCAGGCTGAAGCTCATATCCGAGCTACTGATCGAACACCTCTTGTATCCGTCAGTTTATGCTGAAACCTCGTCAGTCGCGATATCTGCGATTCCGCCTGCTGAATGGCTCACACGGTGCACGGACGCCGTTTTCCGCATCTGCCCGCTGGTTGTTCCCTCCTCCTGGTGGCTGGATCACCTGACTGCGACTCCTCAGTCCTCTATTGGCATTTTCCATTTTAAACTCCGTCCGCATGTGGACTTGCCATCGCTCATCTTTACAGACACGTCGACACATTCAGCTCCCTTTTCTGAAAGGGTCAGAGGCTTCCCAGATATCGACGTCGGGCTTTTTCCGCATCCCGCTGTATAAATGACCATCCACACAGTGACAAATCACATCCTTAAATATATGTGCCTTCCGCAGCTTTACAGATGAATGCAGTCATTGATTCCAAACTGCTGCCATAGTTAAAATCTGGCTTTCATACACCTGCCTGGAGTCTTAGTGAGCAGGTGTGTGTGTGGGCAGGGGGGGATGATTCAGAGGGCCCAGCCCTGGAAGACCCCAGCAGTCTGCGGGGGCCCAAGATTTCCTGCCTCATCCTCAGATAAGAGTCATACTTACATACCTGCTGTGTCCAATCCAGGCAGATAAAGCACAAAGAGGACTTTTGTGCTGGTAATTCACATGGTTTCTAAATATGTACCCGATCATTGCTAAGAGAATACATCTACAAAGACAAAAATATCTGGCTTACCACAAAATGTCTGTTATATTACCATTTTATGTTTCACAGTTACAGTTATTATACCATGTGATATGGTAGCTACAATTACAATTTAAAAATACCTTTCTTAAATTAAGCAGCTAGAAACGCGGTGTGTAGTATATTCTTGAACAATATGCTGATACTGAAACAACTCTGCACTGTACTCGAATAACTTAACAGCTATTGTTCACGAATGGGGCAACATGCCATTGTTGCGTATGATGTTAATCTAATCAGCGCACACTCTTGTTGAAAGGGGTGCTAGGAATGTTAAAATTGTAAATACATAAACACCAACGTGCCGCTAACCCATGTGGATGCTGCGGAGAGGGTACGCTTTTCCCCTGATTCTCCTTGTGCTATTTTTAGAAAGAAAAAAAAAATGTCTGTAATTTAGGAGATGCCCTTCAACTTAAACCTATCATCTGGTTTGGGGGGATGGAATGCTTTGGAAACAGACCCGATGCGGTGGGAAAACATATACGTCTCAGAAAGGGCACCAATAAAATAATAAATCAAACCCATATGTGTTCAGGATATCAGTGACTGACTTCTGACCTTGACAATCAAAGCCTGACACCAGTGAACCGGAGCTTTATATTAATAGCAAAGCACACACCTGCACTGCACACTTACCACATCTCTGGAATGCTTCCTTCCTGTAAATCCATAAACAGCATATTTTGTTTCTGCAGCATTTGAAAGAACGGAGCCAGCAAGTGTTACTCATTCGCTGAAACAATTGCTTGCGGTTTCAAACTTGGCATTCAGTCTCTCTCCACGCCACAAACATCCAAAGTTGCCTCCGTTTTAACTAACCGGTTCCCGTATCCACATTGCCCAACCTTTGCCGCTCTCCCTGTTCTCGGCACAAACTACTGTTACGTGACACTGGCTTATAATGGAGGCAGACCACCTGGACGCTGGGCCTGAGGCCCGAAGGTTGGTCTACGTAGACCGACTTGGCCCGTAAGCGCACATAATCACACACTGCTCGGATCAGAAACATCAAATTAACGGCAGGGTTGGTGAGAGAATGTCATACGTTGCAGGAAGTAAAAATACAAACTGAACAGATTTATGGAAAGTCAAATAATAATTTTACAAAGTGTTCAATTTATACAACCTTTCAATACAGGAACAGAAGCTAATTCATTGCTGCGGATGAACGGTTCAGATTTGATAGAAACTCAGTAAATACAGGATAGTGCAGGCAAAGAAGATATTAATAAACTAACTTTATGACAGGCAGGGAGCAAATTTTATTAAAATTAAATTTGATATATTAAAATATGCAAACCTCAAGTTGAATTAAATACCGTTTAAATGGCTTAGATGATGCAGTTATGGTGTATAAATAGCATAGATGGGTTTTTATACCGCTCCCAAAGCTCCTGGAAGACGCCGCCACCTAAAGTCACATGACTCAGCACGGCCAGCTTTGAGGCACCGACGTGACCCACGGAGCCTTACATTTGTTAGCTGTCATGGGTCCTGAAACACCTCCCTCAGTTAAACAGCTCTGAGCGGTTTAAAGGGAGGGTAAGAAGGCACGGTGAAGGACACGCTGCACCTGTGAGCCATGCCCTACCCCCCCCACCCCCAACCCCGCCCCCCAGGGCCGCTGCGCAAAGCAGTGTGCCCTTCAGTCTTCAGCTCGATGCTGACGTTCTGCACACAGCACGTTCTTCCGTCACCAAGAAGTTGTGACGACACTTCAGGTCGAGATGGGGGGGGGGGGGCAGGTGGGAAACCTGCAGCTCATTGGACGATAAGTAACATACAAGAACTGGGATATGGCTCTGGGTGCACCAGCCCTCTAGCAGAGCAGCAGCCTCCACTGAGCATGTCCTAGACTGTCCTTGGAACCATGTGGGGTTCGACCCCCCACCTGAGTATTGTGAGCAAACAGTTACAGGCCCATGGGGTCAAAGGAGGTAAGTGAGGATTGCACAAGCAGTAAGGAGTATGAGCCTAAAAGCAGCCTCTGATTGGACTGCTAAGCTAAAAAAAAATTATAACCACAAAATGCAGCCACTCTCTTGACTTACATGCATACGCGTGCGGCCAGCAGCGCTTACGACGCAGTGACACGGCGGACATTCAACAAGGGTCACCAACGCAGCCACTTAGTTCAATTAAGCAGGAATCCCTTTGCATGCAATATAGGAAATTCATCCCACTTAAAAGGTACGTATTGTTCCGTTTTACAAAAAACTAGGCAAAGTAGTTATTCATAACTTTATGACAAGCAAGGGCCACATTTGAATCATTATAGAGACAACAAAATGAAATTTGATATATTGAAATATGCAAACTGTCAAAATGCCCCCTTGCTGCATCAGGCACCATAAAACAAAGTGACCTGGCTTTGGATAGATGTGTACAGTGTGTACAGCACATCTGTTCGCAAGAAACCTCTTAGGTGTGATGGAACCTGGTCTTCTCAGGCCTGTTGCTTCTATTTAGTTTCCATCAAGTGTAAAAGAGCCATTACTCAGTGCTCTGTGGCATCCTGCTGGCAAAAAACATTATCACCTAAAAAGAGATTTATTGGTAGACTTTGCCCAGACAGTTAAGGCTTGCGTCACGTAATTTGGACCCCTGGGGGTGATTCACACCAGTTTTTGTAGTAAATACGCAAGATAAATGACCTATTGTCAGTTTTAAAGTAATACACATTGAAAACAAATGATTAAAAAGCGCACAAGGTTGCGATCTCTTAATGTATCTTCGTGAAGAGCTATTCGCTCAAAGTACGAGGCATACACATCCGTGGGGTCACACACCAGACACTAAAATTGTCCTTGGAGTGCGTAATATACATATGGACACCCGCACAATTAACATAGACATACTGCCGCCATTTATAAAGAGCGGCGCTCCTATCTCTACTCACCACCCGCTTCACTTCCGAAGCCTTCGGGATACTTCGGAGCGTCCATGCAGCCATTCGCGCTTATCCGGTTCAGGGTCAGGATGAGCCTGGAGCGTATCCCAGCATGCACAGCGGATGGCAGTCCATTCCGGGACACCTACTCGCAAACACAAGTTAAGGGCAATTTAGGGCAAGGGGAGAAAACTGGGGTATGTGAAGGAAACCCATATACGCACAGCAAGAGCTCAATGCGCTCCATAGGCTGCGGAGTAAATGATACGGAGCGGGAGCAGGGCATCTGCCTGCAACTAATGAAACTTCACCAGCCACCAAAATATCCATATTTATGTGTATGTAAACCACTTGATAAACTGTACCACTGTGAAATTGCTCACCCACCAACTTACCAGCACCTTATTGTGTGTGTGTGTGTGTGTGTGCGTATAAATAAAACTTTTTTTGTGTGTACATATATAGTGTCTGTACATATTTTATTCTCCGATTCTATTTTACGCCTCAGAATCTATTTAATTGTAAGTATACGCAGGGGCGGATTAACGCACAGGCTAGATATGGCTTAAGCCTAGGGGCCCCACGTGTGCCAGCCTGCAAGGGGGCCCCCATTGGCGCGGAGGGGGGTGGGGTTGGGGGGCCCACAGACTACTGTAGCCTAGGGGCCTCTGTACACCTTAATCCGCCCCTGAGTATACGGTGCATCCGTTGGCGCATTCCAAAATAAGTTTCATTGTTCTTACGATGGCAATAAAGCATCTTTATCTTTAAAACAGACCAATATGGGCGAAGATAGAAATTCTTGGCTCCCCTGTCAAAATGTCACTTTGCTCCTCGTGAAGGTTGAAGTGGGAGGCGCCGAGGATGCACGGTTAACCGAGCATTTTGTACTAGCAGCCCACTAAAACGCCTCCCCACCCCCCACCGGACTAATCTGCCAGGGTATCCATGGCCCTCTGACGCTGCTTCGCACAAAAAGTGAAATCGCTACTTACGAAAGAAAATGCATTTACAGTGTCAGGATCATACGTCATCTGCATACGTCATCTGCATTTACAGTGTCAGGATCATACGTCATCTGCATTTACAGTGTCAGGATCATACGGCATCTGCATTTACAGTGTTAGGATCATACGGCATCTGCATTTACAGTGCTGCCTGCTCTTTACGCTGCTACTTAAACTCGGACACACTAGTTATAAAATTGTATAACTGCCACGTCAAATGCAGCAGTCCTGAAGCATTTCACAACAAAACATTCATCCTCCTCGACACCCGTACGTCTTTTTGAGCAACCAAGCGATGAAATTAAAATCGCAGTTATCGGAGCTTGCGAGCATTTTTGGGTTCAAGCTGCTGAATGATGTCAGCCCCACACAACATCCAGTCAAATTTCATCATCCCCTCATTCTAATTAATTTGTCTTTTTTGCATCTTTCTACTGCGGTGTTATTAATTTTCCGTTGTTATACGTATTGTTTTGTATTTATTGTGCAGGCAGAATGCAGCGCACAAGGGAAAAATTAATTGCACTACATACGTTAATAAAACTTTTTGACTTGAAACCAAATCAAAAACCCAATTATCTTTTCAAAGTAGCCTACTGAAGTACTGTTTCGAGCACTAATTAAACACATAGGCTACTGAAGATAATTCGACGAATCACCAGAGCACAGAATGATGTTATCAACTTTCATCGTCGCGATTTCTTTATGAATCCCCCCCCAATCGATTTGCGTTCCTCAGTACAACAGAGCGGGGGTGATCGATGCAAGGAAAATGGCATCACTGCAACAGATCTATTCTTCATTTGCTTCATCATGTCAGGATCATACGTCATCTGCATCCGGGTTGTGTATATCAAATCAAGGAATGTGCTTCGACATTAACAAATGATCCTCTTAGCCTTTGTTGCACGTCCCGCCTGCCCCACCGCGTTGTCCACGCAGGCTACCTTGAGCGTCCGTATTTTACCTGCATCACTTAGGGAAAAGCTCTCAAATTCTGCTGATGCGGCATCGCCGAGAAATGGACGCTTAATGTATTCAGCACTTTGAATCACACCATTATGATGCTTCGCGTGAGGCATGCAGTGCAGATCCCCCCGCAGCGAAGCCAGGCCAGCGGATTCGCTGTTTTAGACCATCTCTGCTCTACCTACTCCTAGGGTTTTTTTCCCCCCAAGCACGATCACATATTGCCGGACAGAATATAAGAATAGTTGCAGGTTAGCCCCCATTAAAACGATAAGACGAGACGGAAAACATGCGAATTAACACTCTAGACAAGTTCACACGATGCAGGGAAAATTAATTAAGCCATTGGCGTGTAGAAACTAACCAAAGTGCTGCACCTGTCATTTGACAGCAGTGATAGCCTACCTGAAAACTTTGAGCACACTAATGAATAGGTATAAATGCAAGACGGGTTAATTATACATGTATTAAAAACAATCTTTCTATTAGCGAATCAATGTTCTAATAACCTGGAGATTTAGGCATCGGAGGGATTTAGTGTGAATACTGTCTAAGGGCGGTGCAGACAAACTTTAAATTTTCCTCATGTTCAGAAATAAGGGTTTTCAAATGCATTCATTATTAATTTTTTTTACAGCTGCCTATTGAGCCGCTTACGTTGTGCTGGAGTAGTTAGCTATACAGAAAAAAGAGGGAGGAGATTGCTGAGCTGGCAGGCGTCTCCTTCATCCGACAGCTTCTTTTTCCTTCCTGACGGTGTGACAAGAGCAATAGGAGCCGCTGCAGAGGGACGCGATGCAGAAGAAGAGGTGGCGCTTGGTGGCATAGCGATACATACGCGGTCAGATCGCCGCAGCTCCCAGGCGAGGGTCCAGCGAGAGGAGACGCGAAATTCCGCATCCCCTGCAGCACTGACGATCCAGCCCCACCAGGATGACAGTGGCGGCTGTGGAAAACTTGGACGAGTCCTCGGGTCTGCCCGAGCATCCGCAGGAGACGTTCGCCCAGGACCACAATGAGTACGAATGCTGCGAGAGGGTGGTCATCAACATCTCGGGCTTGCGCTTCGAGACTGAGCTCAAGACACTGGTCCAGTTCCCCGAGACTCTGCTGGGGAACCCCAAGAAGAGGATGCGCTACTTCGATCCCCTGCGAAACGAGTACTTCTTCGACAGGAACCGCACCTGTTTCGACGCGATCTTGTATTATTATCAGTCGGGCGGCAAGTTGAGAAGACCGGTCCATATTCCGCTGGACATGTTCGCGGATGAGATCAAGTTTTACGAACTTGGCTACGACGCCATGGAGAAATTCCGAGAGGAAGAGGGATACGAAAGGGAGAAAGAGCGCCCCTTGCCCGAAAAGGAATTTCAGCGCCAGCTCTGGCTCCTCTTCGAGCATCCCGAGAGCTCCAGCAGCGCCCGGGGAGTCGCTATAATATCGGTGTCGATCATTCTCATCTCCATCATCATATTTTGTTTAGAGACTTTGCCCGACTTGAAGACTGATCCCACGCACTACTTCCGAATCGTGGGCAACGTCACTTTATTTTACAAGCCAAACATACTGCTCAACCCATTCTTTATTGTGGAGACACTGTGCATCATTTGGTTCACTTTCGAACTGCTAGTGCGATTTTTCGCCTGTCCCAGCAAGCCGGCTTTCTTCCAGGATATAATGAACGTCATAGATGTCGTGTCCATCATCCCCTATTTCATAACTCTGGGTACCGAGTTGTCGGAAGGGGGGGGAGAAGTGGAAGACCTGAAAGATGATCAGGGGGGGTCCCTGGCCGTCCTCAGAGTGATTCGTTTGGTTAGGGTGTTCCGCATCTTTAAGCTGTCCAGACACTCCAAGGGTCTCCAGATTTTAGGGCAGACCCTCAAGGCCAGCATGCGCGAGCTGGGCCTGCTCATCTTCTTTCTCTTCATCGGTGTCGTCCTCTTCTCCAGCGCCGTCTACTTTGCAGAGGCGGAGGATAAGGAATCCCACTTCGCCAGCATTCCCGACGGCTTCTGGTGGGCGGTGGTATCCATGACCACTGTGGGCTATGGGGACATGTGCCCGGTGACCGTTGGGGGCAAGGTAGTGGGCTCCCTGTGCGCCATTGCTGGAGTACTAACGATCTCGCTGCCGGTGCCCGTGATCGTCTCCAACTTCAATTACTTCTACCACAAGGAGACCGAAGGGGAAGAAGAAGCGAAGCTCCTCAACATCAGCACCCAGAACATCTCGTCGGACGGCGAGTCCAGTCGCCGCGGCTCGTCCATCATCAGCAAGTCCGAATACATGGAGATCAACGAGGACATGAACAACAGCTTCGACAACTTCAGGGATATGAACCTGAGAACTGGAAACTGCACAGCGAACAAAAACGTCAATCAGAACAAGATTTTAACCGACGTCTAAAACTTAGATACAGCTTTATAGAATAATCCAGATCACCCAGCGTAATCAATCTAATATGAACGGCAGTGCAAGTATTAGGCAAAAAAGTCAATACATTAAAAAAAAAAAAACGACATTTATATTAAAATGTGATTAAAATATAGAAATAATATATTAGATCTACACCATATGCAGGAGGGAGAGCTCTTGTCAGAGATGATGCGATCACTAAAATATGAAAAGAAAGCAGTCACAGCATCGTATCGATCCGAGTTGTGGACCTATAGGGGATGCTTTACTTAAGTGAAAAAAGCGCGTCTCTTCTAACTAAAGGAAGGTGCATGAGGTAATAGTATCGGGAACACTAGGCCTACCGTATTAATACTGCAACTTCGCCAGGTAGGAACTTTGCCATATCCTTCGGTAATTTTAGCAGCAGTGACAGACAGTTCGCTCAAGTGAGTGTTACTCTCTACGTTGCAGTATTAGAAAGGTAGATGTTTCCTCATATAACTAGAAACTGTTTTTTAAACTGAAATTTCGCAAGTTATTGTTTAAATGGTTGATAAATTCCTTTAAAAAGTATTATTTAGAAAAGTGCTGAATGTCAGATCCCGAGTTTTGAATGCCATAGCATGTACAAATACTGAACAATTTGTGGTCTAACTAAGAGCAATGTATCCTGCTATATTTGATGCATGACGTCAGTATTAGAAGTTCGTGGTAACTGGGCAAATCGGGGGGACGTAATGGTTTTCCCAGTCGTGAAATAAGCATCTTTCTAAACTCATTTTATATTAACTACGAACCGATGCAGCATAACAATAAGAGTTAACATGGTTGTAGAAGCTTTTCGACACACATACTCTGTAGAACCATCCGCTTCTAGTTTGAACACCGTCAGCTCCTCGACGTTCACAAACCAATATATAAAAATATACAGGCAACGCACTCACCATATAACTGTTTCAGCTTTAAACCCATTCTAAAAGTAGGTATTGCGCAAAGGACACTCGTGAAAATATTTTTTTATCCAAAATTATAGTATAGTGCCTTTAAATTAAACACACTAGACCCTTTTAAAAGTTTCCCTTGCTGACTAAATTCAGAGAAAAGCAGACAATCCTTATTAGCAAAATAACATACAATTATAATAATTCAGATTTAATGTACATCTTCAACTTCTACTCAACACTTTGCTCTTTGCTGCTCCTCGAATGTACGTCTCTCATGCATGTCACTGAGAGTCATAGCAGGTTATCTAAACCACGGATCTCTGTTGGACCACTTCGTTCTGAGCCCAAGATCCTTGGTCTCTGGATCCATGGTGCCTATATCTGTGATGATCTATCAAACAAGACCGACAAGAACTTTTCACACGTACCTGAAGTGGTTGAGAAGTGCATCAGTGATGCAAACTAACTTTTGACAATGTATCGTATCTTATTTTATTTTTTCTACTAGGTGCATATGAACTAGGTGTATTTATTTCAATTAACATGGGAGTAGCTTGAAAATCTATGCATAAATATATATATTTAAAAAGCACTGAGCCTGTTGCTCTGCATGCGAGCAAATTTAGCACTCCTGTTGGGGTGGGGCGATGAAATACTGCTGTAACATTTATTTAGCTTAATATTCAGCTAGCAAGGAGCACGAGCTGTGGTGAAGTGAGCTAATCTATAGTTACGTCTGCAATGAGGAAGATCCGCCACACGCTGAAAGACAGCCTAACAGCCTCCGAGAATTTACAGCTCAGCATTTTGTAAAAAGCTATTCTAACTAAAAAAAAAGAAGAATGGATGAAAAAAGACTGCTTTCTACAACTAAAGACATGCCTTTCTACAAAAAATGTGTATCATTGGAGATCCATCCATCTGTACCCTGCTTGTCCAGAATAAGGATTGAAGGAGATTTGAAATAATACGTCAAGAGAAATATGAGCGTCAATTTTGGCCGTGAAGCTGTAATTATGAGACTGCGCCTGGGTTGGACAAGCCACGGTGCATCCGGGGAAGATTAAAAAAAAAGGCATGCAGACAGAATTAATAAAGAAAAGTCATCAATTCAGCTTTAATATTGCTAAAGAAGCGAGAGGAACAATGCTGCTCTGCTTGAAATCAGAGATTCGCGCACAAATGTGTGGTAACTATATTCATATATATTTCTGAAAAGATGGTACTCTATAAGGTTAGGCGTGGTGGTCAAGCAGCCGAACACCTTTTTTCACTCAGCTGAGTGCCATGAACCAAAGACAAGTTCTAAATGAAAATGCAGATATCTATTTAACACTGCGTACTGTTCCTAAAAGTACCGCACATCTTATTTCAGCCGTTAAGCTGTTTACTGCAATACAAAAACTGTAGTGAGAAGTTCTGAGGCAATGCATTATTATATGTAATTATTTAAATTTACTTAAATTAATAACAGGAGACACCTACAGCAATCTAATCAGTACGCCATACTGAGATCTTTAAAAAGCAGTTTCTGACCAATGTCACTGAAAGTTATCGAACTTTAAAAATCTAAAGTGCCATTTTGATGGGTCATCTGACTGCAAGTGACAAAGGTTGGGGCCACACTGTTGTACATTTAAAAAAAATCAAGGTACACATTAAGGGACATTAAGAGGCACGACGAGACTACGAAACAAAATATTGGCGCAATGATAGTTGATACAATCATATTTCTACGACAATAAATGTGAAGTACAATTAAACAGAGGTACCGTTACCCAAATGACAGAATATTTAATGGCTATTTTAAGTTATACGGAGAGAACTTGACCTCAGCCTGGCTCAGTAATTTTGGTACCTATAGATGTATTGCTCGTCTGGCTGCACTTCCAGTTGTAACTGGAAATACTTACCGTTCCTTTTTCCGTTTTCTTTTTCTTCTAGTTGCTAGTCTATGAGGGATGAGGTACATGAAAAAACAGTCTGATCTGTGACCAATGACCTATGCAAGGGTAATTGTTTCGTTTTCTGTATGATTTTGCCATGTATAGCACCCAGTTCAATAAATTTTTTAAAGATCTATGTTGTGGTTATGTCTGCATGGGGGGGGGGGTGGAATCTACCTCATACACCTTGACCTTATTGAAGTGCAAACGCTGGGATGCTCAAATAACAGACAGCATTGCATTATTGCTGCATGCCCAGCTTCGTGCTGCAGCTCCGCATGCGGCGGGGCAGCCGTGCAGTCAATGGGAATGTCATCAGCGCTGGGGCTTCCTCTCTGGGTTCTGTGTCATGCTTTCATGAGCCAGAGCTGGAGTTCCTCATAACCAGGCACGCTGAGGCTATCTGACCCCCCCGCCCATCCACAAAAGTGCCACATCTGCATCACTGCAAACTAACGCGACAGCCAGAACAGATGTTGCATCCTGAGGGGAACTCGCCACTGACGCTGCGACGAAATTAAGAAAATTCATTCATAAGTGTTTAACTCCCTTCCTCATCTGCATTTAGTCACAATACGTCATTTTAACAAGTTATTCCGATGCCACACTGCAGGGGGCGCTGTCTAAAAAAAGAACTGTCATCCCCTGTTTTTGTCAGAAATGTTTCCACTGAAGATAATTTATAAAGTGATGAAATATGACCTTATAGAACAACCAAAGCAATCAAATTAGCCAGCACTGACCGAGGCAGCAGCCAGGAATACATTACCTTTGGTGTTTCTGCACACAGCAAGTACAGAATCCCGGCACCATGTGACTCTTTATTCTAAAGATTGCCAGAAAATCATGCAATATCACACCCCCAAAATTAACATTCATGCAAACATTTCCTTTTTACAAACGACAAAACATTTGCAGCAATATAACTGATTCAACCATGCAGGATAAATATCACTCCACCTCTAGTTCCTGTAACATTTGGCCAGGCGACAAGCAGAATATCACCTAACGTATCTGCAACCAAAACCACACCGGATGGAATCTGTAGTAGAGTAAGCGGGAAATGTATAGTAGTATCCAGTTCACAGGCAGGGACAGTGAACATTGAGCCACACCACTCTTTCTGCTCTTTTACTGCTCATCCTGGAGAAACCAGACCCGGCTTGTCTTACATCAGAAGGACCAGGAAATGAAGCAGACATGCATGTCGCTAGTGATGCTGACTCAGGGATAAAAGTCGCCAAGAATTTACAGACATCTAAACAGCTACTAGCATTGGCCAAAGGAGGATGAGAGGTACACCAGTTTCCTCCTAATGCAAAAACCAAGTTTCCAGAAGAGCGTTCACAATACCCGTGACAGCCAAGCATGTGTAGGTGGCAGGGATGATTGTGGTGTCAGAACTTTCACCTTTAATATGTAACATCGAACATTCCCCCTCACAAGCCACGGGGATGGGGGGTGGGGGAATGTCCTTTGAGTGGGAGAGACAGGTAAGTGGGTGTGTTCATGCTGATTCACTCTGCCTGTCCCTTGTTAGAATCTGCCACTATAAAATATATTCTGTTCTCAACCCCAGGAACCCCTGGCAGAACCTCTCTTGAATCACATTACTGCATACTATTCCCAGAAGGGCATGCTCACATTTGTTTTCTTCTGGAAGGAAAAGAAAAATCCACAAATTGTTCTGACCCTGTCCCAGAAACGCTGAAAATCCCACCCTCTATCCTTTCTGTTCTATGACCTACCTGTGCTGAGTGATTCCTACACATTTTTCAACATGATGTCATATTCACATCTGATGCCACATCATATGACATCATACACACAAGGCAGGCAGGGTGACATCACGGATTCATAACACAAAGCATTATAATGTCATAATTATAATTATGAATGGCACAAAATTGTGCCGCAATACGCCATGCAGCAAAGCATTTGAAACTCCTCCAGCATAAATAAGCTGATTGTCAATCGCAATCCATCCATGCAATGCAGCGTCCCTCAAGCCAGCACTGGCGGCCTGGCGGCTCTCGCTCATGCTATCCGGTTTCCTCAGCATTACACTGATCTGTGAAACATTCACGCTGCCTCTGACGACAGCACCCACCGTGCACTGCGCACTATGATACCCAATAGCCCTGTGACTTTGCACAACAGCACCTGAATCCTTCCAGCCCCTGGCCTTGGGACCACTTTACAGGGTAATCCACGTACGTTGCCTGCACTCCACACCTCTCAGCCTGTGTACTCATCTTGGGTTAATGTTACACGGCTTGTTGCCAAAGAAAAACGCAGCAGAGATGATTAGAAACCCCAGTCATGCCTATGAAATTCACCACAAGCTGAATGTTGACCTTGGCCATTGCATGACTCAGCCCGGTAACCTGAAACTGGAAACCTTATTTTATGACAAAGGTGTGACTGACCTTGTCTGTGTGCCATATCTAAGCCCCTGGTCTCCGGTAGTGCATTACACTGACATTAGGGTTTAAAAGGAAATATGACGGTCATGCATGCAGAGGAACAACAGGATCCAAAGAGATACATTGTTTCAGCATCGGACGCCTCATTCTGGTACATCACTGCTATGTAGTAAACATATTCCTTAAGAATAAACATTCTCAGTCATGACTAATTTCTAATTAAAGTGAGTGCTTCATCATCTGAGACAGAGCTACCTTCTCTCACACCTCTGAAAACCGGCCCATCACAAAATAATTAGTGATATGAACAGTATAAAAATAAAGGGTACAGCCCTGGTACAATTTTGTACCCCAAGGTACAAATGAATCAATGTACCCTCAATGGTATAATAATGTTCCTCAGAGTCCATTTCTGTACCTTAAAAGGTATATTTACCTACAGCTAGGGTACATTTAGCAGACCTTTGAGGGTACAGCCCCAGTGACAAGTAGTTGTACCCTCACAGGTACAAATTGGGACTTTTTACTGACAGTGCAAGTGAGTAACGAGATAAACACAGGCCACTATTGGCTAATATTCTTGAAATGATCCCAGACCAAACAGTTTAATGTTTTGCCTCCTATAGCTTCAGGGACGTGTTGTTATTCACAGATTTCTTGTGAAAGTACCGATCCCACCGCATTGCAATGGCATCAGGACATCGGAGCCCCCACGGCCCAGATGCCGAGCTCGTTAGGGCTCCACCTGCTGTTCGGACCCAGTCTGCGCGTCACTCGCGCGCATCCCACAGTATGCGCTCTGCCGCGTGCCCTTGATAGAGCAGCCTTACTCATGCACCGCTAGCTGCCACTGAAACCACAAGTACAGTACAAAGTCAACAGAGAGAGAAGCTGGAGCTTGCAGGTGCAGCTAGGATTGCAGCATTTCTGTGCTGCACCGCTATAGCGTGCACATCTGACCACAAAGCTCTGACTGGGTCTCCCTCTCTCTATATAAAATATTTATCACAATTAATGTGTCATACAATATTAATTCCTCTTAGCATACTGAAAAATAATTCATTTTGCATGCATCTCATTAGTGCTGCCTTCATATAGGTCCAGTTTTTGGTTTGTTTTCTTCCTGCCTTAGTGCTTTACGATTTTTAAAATCCTTTTGGCTTCTGTGTGGTTTTTTCCCCCAATGCATGAATCACTGCATTTTACGAAGGTATGACACTGTTTTCGAAAACCACGTAAAATGAACGGACACCAACCGCACAAAACAAGCACCGCGGAAACAGCTAAATTATAACCTACCAAATTCAGCTGTATAAGCAGTTGCTTAATTAAATTAAACCAAGATCACGCACCCGCCGACCCAGAAACTTCCAAAGCCGGCTAAATTCAACTTTACAGTAAACTGGAATTTCTTTTTCGCAAGAAAATGATACAAATAATTATCTAATTATTTTTACTTTAATGAACTACAGTTATTGTATATTGTATGCGTTTCATTTTTAGCTTCCGCGAAAGTTTATAACGCTGATCGACAAAGATCAAAACACGCCGACCTGCATTTTCCCCCTGAATACAACATTACTGCAGATTAATCAGTTCTTCGGACAAAACCTACGGACGTGCCACTTTTTGCCGCAAATCAGAAGGTTTAGTTGTTGTCTTATTCTAGGATACTGTAGGTCACTGTTCTCGGTTACCCTTACAGTCCCCTTTCGCGTAAGTTCTCACGTCGCCTTGCAACTTCCCAGTAAAAAAAAAAAAAAAAGCAAACTGCTGTTCTAAACATAACGTAAGAAAACTAAAATAGACCACTTGGTAGCACAGAAAAACGTATTCTGTAGAAAATGTGGTTTGCAAATCATTTAACAACTTCGTGGTGTTCACGTTTTTAAGGCCTATAACTCAGGCGTTCGTTTTAAGTTTTACAAATAGAGTAGGGAGTCTGTTAGCCGTCTTCTGTTTCCTGTAAACCACAAAATTAAAACGAATCATAGGGGACTGGGACGGGAGCTGCAAAGAGCAAAATATAAAATGAAATGTATAAGTGTTTGCAATACTTTCATGTGAGGCTCGAGGTGTGGTTTTATCATTGATAGGGACCAATTCAGCCCCGAACCCCCAGCCCCCCTAAAAACACTCAGTACTCCCACATAATTGGTAGGGACGTGTCCCCAGTCCCTACACCCATACTCAAATCTCATACATTTAAGGGTCTTATTTTGAAAATCATTTGTTAATTATTTTTTACAATTTTTTATGACATAAACATTGCATCGTTAACAACACAAACCATCGTCAGACCAAACCACAACCTAAGGCTGTGGAATATGTGAATTGATACACAACGTTCTGCTCTTCTGTCAGACAATATTGACCTTTCCAGTGATTCTGCTCAAACCAGTGAAAAGATGATGAGGTCAAATTCCTGTCTTTGGATTAATGGCCTTTCCAGGATTCAGGTCACTATCTCCATGAGCTCCATCCTCAAATTGTTCATCCTTGGTTCTCCAAGGAAATTACGCAGTTCAAACCCACCCCTTTTTAAACACTGGAGAGTTCATCACAGTATGAAACATTCATCCAAACATGAATTTCTCTCCATGAAGGTATAAATAAACATACAAGCACATAGGATGGTATTTTGAAATGTCTCCCAAATTAATGATGTCGCTAATCACTTGACCATGGTGAGGGACCCAAGGGGCACC